GGGGTGGATGGAGGAGGCAGAGGGGAGGGGAGAGAGGAGAGGGGAAAGGGGAGATAGGAGGGTAAAGGAGGAAAGAGGGGAGGGGAGAGTGGAGTTTGGGGATGGGTGAAAGAGGCAGAGAGGTAGGGGAGAGAGGGGAAAGGAGAGAGGGGAGGGGAGAGAGGGAAAGAGAGAGAGGGGAAGAGAAAGAGGGGAGGGCAGAGAGAGGAGGTGAGAGAGGAGAGGAGAGAGAGGGGAGGGGAGAGAGGGAAGGGGAGAGAGGGAAGGAGAGAGAGGGGAAGGGCAAATTAATTTTTAAAAAGTTTGGTCATTTACATATTCATTTGACTGAGTTCTTTCTCTCAAATATCAATTTACCTATAATGCACATAATTACTTTCAATACATTTATCCATCATCCTTATTTGAGGCAACACTCCTTTATCGCGCTGTTTTAGTTAAAACAATCATAATATCTATCTTCATGAACCTTATTAAAAAAAATCTGATACTATTTGACACATTCTTTTGATATGAAAATGCTATCTAATATTTTTCCATGCATGATATCTTAGTAACAACTTTACGTATAAATTTTATAGAGATTATGAAAAAGATAAGATTGCATCCTTTCTATTTTGTTTGTAAGAAAAGACTATATCCCAAAAATGTGTTCCTTATTATTATTTTTTTTGAGATGAAAATATATACCCAAAAATATTCCATACAGTTTTCATTTTGAGATAAGAATATATATCACTTATCATTCCTTACATAAATTTTTCTATTTTTTTTCTTTGATAAATAAAATCACAGCCCTTATTAAAAACACATTTGTTATTATTATTGTTATTATTATTATTATTATTATTATTATTATTATTATTATTATTATCATTATTATTATCATTATCATTATCATTATTATTATTACTGTCATTATTATTATTATTATTACTATTATCATTATTATTATTATTACTATTATCATTTAAAGCTCACTCACTCTCTCACCCTCTCCTCCCTCCCTCACTCCCCTCCCCTCCCCTCCCTCCCCTCCCTCCCTTTAAAACCTAAAAAGCAAAACCAAAAAGCAAAACAAAAACCCACACACTCCCCCCACCTTATATTATTATTCGACAGCACCACAATCAGCACATCGGGAAACGCCCTGAAGGCAAACTGGGGCACGGAAGTCAGTCGATTTCCCGCGAAGTCGATCGTATTCAAGCTCGGCGTCGACTCCGTGAACTCCGCCATGGCTGAGAGGTCGTCGATCAGGTTGTTGGGGACGTGGAATTCCAGGAGTCTCGGGAAGCCCTGGCCGGGTGGAGGTGGGGTGGAGTCAGGATGGAGGTGGAGAGGAGGTGGAGTGGATTGAGGGTGGACAGAATGTGGGGTCAGGGTGGATTGGGGTGGTTTGAGGGTGGACAGAATGTGGAGTCAGATTGAGGGTGGATTGGGGTGGACTGAATGTGGATTGGGGTGGACTGGAGTGGGTGGGTGTGGTTGGGGGTGGATTAAGTGGATTGGGGTGGACAGAATGTGGAGGTAGGGTGGAGTGGAGTGAAGGTGGATTGGGGTGGACTGAGTGTGAATTGGGTGGATGGAGGTGGATGGTAGTGGATTGAGAGTGGATTGGAGTGGACTGTATGTGGATTGGGGTGGATTAGGTGTGGGTTAAAGGGGTTAAGTGTGGATTGGAGTAGATTGAGAGCATGGATTAGGTTTTATAACGTGTGGAAGGGATGGATTGATTCAAAGGTATGGAGTGGTGTGGATTGGTTTAAACTTGTGGATTTGGCTGGACTGGTTTAAGTGGATTGGGATTCAAGGTTGTGGAGTAGGTGGAAAACATTAATTCCTGGCTGTTGTACTTTATGATGAAAATCATAGGAATAATAATGATACTGATAATAATGATAATGATAATAATAATAAAATGATAATAATAAAATAATAATAATAATAATATTATTATTGTTATTATAACGAAAATCATAGGAATAAAAATGATAATGATGATAATAGTAACAACAACAACAACAACAACCTAACCTGTACCCACCAGGACCTGATCCAGCATCAGCTGTGTGAGGAGGTTGTCGTTCAGGTAGAGAGCCCGAAGGTCGTAGCGAAGTGGTTCTAAGGTTCCAGGTTCTATGTATTCCAAGCGGTTGTTCATGAACCACAGTTGTTCAAAGGAATGCATGCCTGGAGGTGGACAAGTATTGGGAGGTAAAAAGGGGGAGAAGGGGTTCATTTGTGGTGTAAGAGGTTCAGTTTGATTTAATTCAATTCAATTCAATTTAAGGGGTTCATTTCTTTCGTGGTGTGAGAGGAAAGGGTTAAGGGGTTCAATTCTTTGTGGTATTAGAGGAAGGGTTCAATTTTTGGATGTGGATTAAATTCTGAAAGAAGGGGTTTGGTTCTTGCCTAGAGGTGATAAAATGGGTTTGATTCCTTTAAGGGTATGAGAGGGAGGGGTTCAAATATGACTTTATCATTTCTTCTTTTTTTA